CTCTCTCTCTCGCTCTCTCTCTGTCTCTCTCTGTCTCTCTGTCTGTCTGTCTCTCTCTCTCTCTCTCTCTCTCTCTCTCTCTCTCTCTCTCTCCCCTCGCACGACTACTGTCCGCCGCGAGAGTGAACGGAACATGTACAACATGCACATAGTGGTGGTGGAAGTTCAAGGACTGGCCGACTTTTCAGTAAGTTGCTGCTCTGTGAGTGCACTTCTTTTGGCCTTGGCAGGACTGGGGGGGGGGGAGATAAGCTCTCAAGCTCTAAGACCAGCGTGCCGCGCCGTCGCGCAGGTGAACCGCAAGAGATAGCAGACATGAGGGGGGTGGCGGGGGAAGTCCCACCCCATTCTGCAACAAATTCGTGAATCCCGGGATACGGATCTTGGATCCAAAGCGCCGTTGATCCATATATCCGAACCCGAACCCAACAGCACTGCCACATCGCCGCCACAGCAACCGCCAACCAAGAGAGGACGAGGAAAGGAGAGGGTACTGCGAGCCACCCCCGGGAGCACGGTGCCTTGGAGCAGAGCGGTTAAAAATATTGAGAGTACTGGTCGCAGAAACAACTTGTTCGGCGTACTCCCAAGGGATGGGGAAGTTACACCGAAACTCTAAATTGACCGAAAACGTTCACAGTTAAAATATATTCCCGTTCAAAAATCACCCTTTCTCGTGTGCCGATGTGTCGGCTATCCCCTCAGTTTCTCTTTCCGCCACCCGTAGCGCTGGATGTACGATTTCGCCGCCATTTGCCTTCTGCTCTTGTTTACGTCGTTGCGTAGGCACAGCTGGCCGATTACCCACTTGAGATTAACATTTTCACCTCTGGAATAACTCATATCGATTTAAAACCCATTGCGAAATGACGCTGTGAATGTTTTATTTTAATGTTAAGTGACGTTCTGGTCTGTCGAAGTACTATTTTGACGCTCCGAGCATGTTTTGTGAGGGGAGTAACCTGATCTGTCTGTCTGTAACCGATCGACAGCGAACTGAATATTAACATTTACACCTTAAATAGTCCTACCTGCGGTTGAAAATGGAATCGGTGGCCTTCTCTAGATCATAAGGAATAACTGGTGTGTGTATTTTTCGTTGGTCGACCTATTATTTAGGCGCTGTGCTCTGCACTCTGGATAGGTGACATGGCCTGGCTGTCTCACCAGGACACACTTTTTTGGTATTTACTTCAACGTTAATGTGAAGTGTACCAAATTACTCAGTGCTGTCTGAAGATAACCAGGCATTTAACCTTTTTTGAAAAGGTTTCAGCCTCCTACATGACCTGAAGATAAAGTTATGATAAAGTATATACTTTGCGTCGAACATTGTATTCCTCATTCCTCGCAATCTTTGAGGGCTTGTTTTCCTACCAATTAAAAATACCTGGGTTGATTTATAGTGCATTTTAATTTAAGACAAATAAGCAAATAACTAGCCTACCTATTAGAAACAAGATTGCTTATTCCAAACCAAAGTGAAAACAAATATAAAATAAAGCAACTTTTAGTAATTTATATTTTGGTTGCACCTTTGAAAGTAATTTGAATCATTCAAACAATCTTAAGCAAAATGTGAGTTGGGGTCATGTATAGACACAAAGTAAATGAAACATTTTGAGTTTTAAAGTTGAATATCCAGGATCTGCGCAGTGAGGAAAGAATACTTCTCGAGCATTTAAAATTTGGTCATTACGGAAGTGACTATAAGATCAACACATGTAAAATGCATGCTCATATCAGATGGTGAATTTATCTGTGTCTTAAAACAAGAGGTGAAGATTTTGCATCAGCTTCTATTAACCAGTTAAAAAAAAAATTCTACCCTTCCAAAACAAAGCATAACTTTCCAATTCACTAATTTTTAAAAAATCCACCATTACTTTTTTTTTCAGAAAAATATATCAAATTCATTTTAATTTTAAGTAAACTTACACTAAATCATTTTTTTTCACTGAGTTAATAAAAAGTGTCCCCTTATGTATAGTGTTCCACATTTCAAGATTGCATCCTGACTGCATGCGGCGAAAGCTCGGGCAAAGCAATTATTCTCACGCGTTCCCCACCAATCCCCTTCACTTTTGGGGGGGATGAAATTAGGTTTCTATACTTTTACGGATAGAAAAACTAAGCTTGACCGTTCTCCAATTTCAAACTCCCCGCGCTGGGGTCGCGCGTGACACTAGCGCTGCACGGCGATCGGTGGAACTCAGGGGATAGCCAAGACATCGACATACGGCCGGCCCAGCACCCTCTCCTTTCCTCGTCCTCTCTTGCGCCAACTGACGTATTCACTTTATTTTGTTTTGAGTGGTTTGGTTTCAGATGGCTCCTCTTTGTTCCCCGAGTCGCAGCAGCAGCAGCAGACACTCTCGATCAGACCGGCGCAACTCAAGTCGCAAGGTTGCCAAATGGACCGTCAGTGCGTCCGGCGGGGCGGCGTGTCCGAGGCCGGGGCGGCGGCGGGGCGGGGCAGAGCGGGGCCGCACTCCTGGCCCAGTCGCACACAACGCAGACTGGTTTGGGCGTAACTTTTCGCTTTCGATGAGGCGGCAAAATGGCAAATGTATAGGTAGAAAGGTGAAGAAAATACAATTGTAAGTGACAGGTGTTTGAACCTGGCTCATGAATCCGAAATTGCCACGATGCATGCTGTGATGCAGCGAGCGCCTGTAATAACCCAAGGGCATAACCCACCCAGGTTTTATACGACACCCAAAAACATCGGCAGGTTTTCTACATCATTCAGCGTGAAATGGTATTTTACTTGTCATCGGGTGCCCCGCCTGATCCGATTTGTGATTGCAGGTAGCCGAAGAGAAATAATGTAAGTGCGATTCTCAAACAGTGTCGGAGGGGTGAATCACTCCTATGCACCTGATACACTGTCAACAAAATGGAAATGGAAACCAACCGTCCAGCATCCCACCGCCTCCAACGGCCGGGCCCCGGCCAACCTCACAGGTGCACACAACAAAAGGAGGGTCCCATACGCCGGAGTCAGGGAGCTAGAGCTGTGTTCGAATATACCTCATCTACTTTTTATTTTTTTTGGTCAATCCTCTCTCACCTATTGACACACCTTGAAGAGCAAAGGGCGGGACGGCAACGTGTTTCGGATGCCACTCTCCTCTGCTCACACATACACTCACAAAGCGTTCACAAACAGGCCAGTCAGCCGGCCAGGTAGAAGCCGACAAGTGATAAAAGGACGGGACAGCGACGAGCGAGCGAGCGAGCGAGAGAGAGAGAGAGAGAGAGAGAGAGAGAGAGAGAGAGAGAGAGAG